CTTAACATAAAATGAAAATATTTCATGGCTAAACAGCATAAAAAAACACGTTTCGTGTTAAACTTGGCATAAAACGAATTCGTTTCGTGCTAAGCATTGCTTATTTTATAGCAAATATTGCAAAAAACGGGATCTATATCAAAATCCCGAAAGTCAAAATCCTGGAATTTAATTGTCGCGTCGTGTGATGTCGGGGTTCCAGTATTCAAACCCGTTGTGATTAGGGAAGTGAAGTGACAAAAATCAGGTGCTAAAAAAGTTAAAATTGTATATAAAGACCTGAACAGATATATATTAAGAAGCGGAGAGGGGTATGCCTCTGATAAAAAAAAATCAGGTGAAAATGACACTGCCCTTATTACTAATCATACTGTAAATGGGGTTTGAATACTAGAACCGACATCACACGACGCGATAATTAAATTTCAGGATTTTGACTTCCCAAAAACATAAAGCAAATTTAAAAAATTAATTAATTTGATTGGTGCACCTATAACGACAGTCGATTTATAAAAATTATCACTATATCCAGCAATAAAAAATTTCTTAGATAATTTTTTAACATTAAAATTGTCGTCATGTCGATATAATTAATATCTTATGATTGTCGGTATAACCAACGAATTTTTAAAATAATAGATCTTTTTTTTTTTTTTTTTGAAAAGTGTCGATATAACCAGAGTGACATTTCTGAATCATGAATGATGTAGAGCTACAATAGTTTAATACGTCATAGAAAAAAATTTAATTAGCGGAAGACCGTTTAGCCGATCAAAAGTACTTTTCAATCCAATTGATAAGAAATGGTGGTTCAGACATCCTTTTATTTTTTTTACAAAAAATAACCGTTCAAACTCTTACCATTATGGATCTTCAAAATCGTAACCAGCGCTTATGTCTTTATTTATATGGCACTAAATACAACCATTCCATTCATTCTTCCTTCACAAGATGTAATGGCTCAACGTTAGCCAAAGCTAATATCAACTAGTTTTGTTGTAGCAACATATGAAAGTTGGCAAAGTCTGAAAAAGACGAAGCAGAAACGGAATTTCTGACATATGTTTTTGGTTTCTATTGGTTCATCGTCTTTTTTTTTTATTTTATTTTTTTTTATTACGGTTTTGTAAAAGCAATATAAATAACGATAAGATAGGAATAATGCTGTAAAATTATTTACACAACCATCAATCGGGAAATCAGTATTTCATTTATTGCGACACTGTAAACAAATTACAAGTTGAGAATATATCAATTACATTATCGTTTGTTCTATTGAACTTTAACAAAAAACTTTACCATAACGGATAAGCAACATTACGATCACTAGCTAATTAATTAGAGCTATTACCCGGGTCACGGGTCGAAAATTGCTCTAACCCGGGTCAGAATTTAAAGTAGGCAAAAACCTACTAAAACACTATTACAGTACTATACAGGTAGAAGGCATTCTAGTTACTAAATAGTAAAGATCTTACCCGGGTCAGGTCACGAATTTCCCGGTGTAGAAAATGGGCAAACTCAAATCACGAGCAAGATCGAAAAAATTTTTCAATACAAAATCCGAAAAACTCCAATTTAATTAATTGGAGTACAGCTGTTCTCTGTACTAACAACTCTAATTAAGTATCGTTGCATCAATTTTAAGGATTAACTTCAAAAACTTTATGAAATTCCGTTTGACCTTTGACCCGGGTAAGAGCTCTATAATTAATTGAGTATACTACTTGAGAACACCCTTATAATTATCTCGATCAATTATTAGTCAATAATTATGACCAAAAATACAATTTGTCTTATTTAAACTATTTGATTAAAGAATAACTGAATCTCAAAATATCCTTTTTTTTAAAAAAATTTTTTTTTAAAGAAAATTAATATCAATTGATTTAGCTCTAATATTTTAAGAATCAACTTATAATACGTAAAATACTGTAAAATATCATATATAAGGCCCGGGTCTGTTATATTCCACCGATTTTAAAATCTAAAATCTATAGTAGACCCGGGTCTAGTACACAGCTGAGCGTTTATATTGTAGCAAGGTAAACTCTAAAGTACATACGTACATACTTTGCATTTGTAATAACTATCTAGGCTTTTAAAAACATCTGCATTCATTTAATAGAGATCCTGTGATTCATACACGGGTCTAACTCATAAGGTACTCTAGTTTAATTTAAAATAAAAAAAACTATATATATTAGTTATATATATACTGTATTTTAATATTTAATTTTTTGATTATTATATATACTGTATTTTAATATTTAATTTTTAGATTATTATTTTTGACTGGACCAGGCCTCTAGAAAATAAATATAGTATAAGTGACTTCTCTATTTGTTATAGGGGTCAGCGCATAAACAACTAGCTGGTTTAAGTTAGTTTGTAACTGGCATAAACCAGTTAATTTTTATCAGTCAAAAACCCTGCATATTGCAGATTTGTAGCTAATGTTCAGCTGACATGTAGTTGATTTTCAAGAATTGCAGTCAGCACAATCGTGCTTTCCAGGTAAACTTTGCTAGATAAATGTGTCAATTGGCTAAGGAATTTAATGTCTTGGCTACGTATTTTATCGGAATGAAGATATATATATAATGTATGAACGTGCCTTTATAGCGTACGTACGATGTAAATGAGATGTTTACTTAAAGTTTATTGAATTTATTGGTTCAGGATCTAGTGTAAGCAAAAGTTCCTATTTTATGTACGTACGTAATTAGAATAATCCTTCTTTCCCTTAAAACTCCTTAAAATAAAGCTCCAATTATAAATGTGCATTTCAGAAATAATGAAGTTTGAATAATTGTATATGGAAATTTATATATTTGTATATATTTACATAAAAAATTGTTGCACGTTTACATATAATTAAGGACCCATTGTTGAATGTGTCTCATTGTCAAGGATATGAATTTATATTACATGCATTAATTCGTTTACTCAGAGCTTTGTACTCCTTTTTGTTACATCTAACTATAATTTAATAAAATTCGTTCGTATAAACATTTTAATTTTATGAAACATTGTCGCGGAATACTAGTAATATATGCGTAAATTTGCAATTTATGCGTAAATTTGTGCACATTTTATGTATTGCGTTAGCTCAATTGATGCTCTTAACCTATTATGATAATGTTACAATTTGAATAATGATAATTATTATTTTTGTGACAGTCAATTTGCCCAATAGAATAGACTTCATTTCACAGACCCTAAAGAATGAGGAAACAAGGTGCGCGTATATGCACGTACGTACGTAAGCTTTAAGTTTAATAATGTTACACTTACTTTGAGAAAAAAAGAATTATTTGAAGATGGTATACCAATAATTCATTTAGATTACCGCTTTAGAATTGTTTGTAGCAGCAATGCGCGAATCAATGTACCAGTGGTATTTGTCCCGTCTCATATTATTCAAATTTATGCATAGGTAATATGTACATACCTCGTACAACATGTAGATTGTGTAATGAAATAGGGTTCAATAAATAATAAGGTTTTTAAAGTTAAAACTAACACCGAAGTTAGAGTGCCCAGGGTACTGCGGTGCATAATTCTGCACACGCTAAAAATACTTTTTTACATTGTAATTTGATTTAAAAGATGGTTTAAATCACGTGTCTCTTATAAAAACAATATAAAAAAATTATTTTTAGCGTGAGCAGAATTATGCACCGCAGTACCCTGGACACTCTAACCGAAGTAAGCTCGTTATGCTATGCATTACAGCTACTATTAATCAAGGTTCTTCAATCATTCCGAAATGGATCATTATTATTATTATATTTACTTACTTGCGACACTTAAATATATAGTAATCAAAGGAAAACAAGGATACAAATATAGACAAATAAGAATTAAGATTTTTTGAAAATACACACTTATTGGCGCTTTTTCCATTTTTGTTTCTATACAAATGAGGTACGTGCGTACAAGAAAAACGAGATGAATCCTTACATGATCTTAGTTTAAATCTTGAAAGCATCTTTGTATCGTGTATAGAGTACAAGATGTAACAATGCATATTTTTAGTTTCACTTATTGAAGATAATGAATTTTATATGATAGTTATGATGTTATTTAAGTTATAATATATAAAAAATAAAAGTAAAAATACAGCATTTTCAAATTTGTCGTTATAGGTACTGGTAAAAGATAAATTCATTTTTATTGCAAGTACGAGTTTTAGGCTAAATAGAATTTATACGTATAATTAATTTAAACTATAAACTGAATGTTATTGGTCCCATCAACAGATTTTTGGGTTTACTAATTTTCCCACCACTTCACTATCAGAGTACTATAAAATTGATTAATAGCACAGATACTCCGATATGTGAATAATTAGTAGAACCAATCAGAAAGTGGTGGGGAAATTAGTAAACTCCAGATTTTTTGGTAAATTCTCCAACGCCCAGTATACGTATACGACGAACATTACAACATATAACAATAATGTATTTGATATTTTATTATTTGTCAGTTTCAAATTTAAGAACTTATACATGAATCTTTAGCCTACAAGTGTTGCCATTTTATTACTATTTATAGTTTCTAGGCCTTTTCTCATGTATGATAAAATTCCGTTTCATTTGCTGTAATCAAACGTTTAAATTGACCATGAAAATAAATTAATTCAAATGACCAAGCAACTTTTTCATTGTAGTTTATAGGCAAATTATTGATTGTGGTATCATAACTTTCTTTGAAGATTGCGTTAGATATTATTCCAAAATTCAGTAAACTAAGTGGTAATAATAAATTCTTATTTCTAGTCGTCAAGATGAACATTAGAATGTTACAAGCTAAAAATATAATAAACGCAAAATCCAGCCAATTATGTTCAAATTCTGGGAGCCTCTATTATCGTTGCTTCATCAACATACACTGTTCATAGATTGTAATGATGATGCCAATGATTGGGATATTAAAATTTCGAATTCACTTAAAAAATTGTATCTATATTCACTTCCATTGTATTTAATAGTTTTTCACCACTCTGACATTATTTTAAGCATGACATTATCAACAAGTCTTTCTCCAAAAATTTCCCCATTACGTTGACTGTCCCACACATTCATAGAAAATAATATATCTGTATTATTATCAGAACTCATGTCTAAAATTTTAGTTCATTCGGTGTATTTCCAACTATTTGCATTTTTTTCAGTTATATTAACATATCACAAGTTAAAGATACAGTACAAACGGCTTATCTTCATAAATATGCCGACCCTTCCTTGATCCATTTAGCCAATTCGTCACATTGGGATCAAATTTAGGAGAAATACTGATAAAACGTATTCATATCTAGCTTGTATCGCTGCCGTTAGCCATTTATTAATAGAAGCGGATTGTTCAGAATATGTTTTATTTGACTTACAATTCTTTGAAATAATTTCTTGACCTTCAATGTATATAATTATTCTCTAATTTCAAATCACGTTAATAATGAAATTCATTCATACGATTATCAAAAAAAAAAAAAAACAACCGTATCGTATGTAGAGTTTGGAACCGGATTTCGTTTTTCGATTCGGATTAAATTTAATTAATAAAAATATGCATCGGATTTAAATCCGAATTTATTTGATAATATCCGGTTGTGCCTAGGTTGATAGTAGCATCATTGTATGTACGTATGTACATACACTTTAGTGAAAAATATTCGATCACTTAAGAACAAAA